ACGTATGGCTACGCTACAAGTATCACGGTAACGAGCGATGGTACGAGACACACAAGATTTATTCACATTATCGCTTGAATTTCATCACGAATAACTTTTTTTCTTGAAAATTCTCACCAAATTGGTTTTGTACGCTTGTAAACAATATAATAAGCTGTCACTGGAATAATTATAACAGCTGTCGGACGAGTGTCTTAGAAATGACAGCAGTCTGAAGTTGGTTGCAGTTTTTTCATCTCACCTTGTATATTTCACATTAACTATTTGACCATAATGCATTTTGTCCAGTCTTAACTATTTTAGGCCTTTGAATTTATCGACCCATTGAATTCTTTTATGACAAGTATACAAATGATGACGCAAAAAATTATGAGAAATCAATCTATTTTAAAACAAAAACAAATAACATTCTAATATATTTTGGAACGCAAACGACTTAAGCCAACATAAATTAAAGGTAGAAAACTTTATTCGATCACTGAACATACACATTTTACTGGTATCAGAAACTCATTTCACTTCTAGAACCTCTTTTAGAATAAAATGTTATGTTATGTAACTCTATATATTTCTGATAAAATCCAGCTATATACACTATAATTTCTGATAAAATCCAGCATAACCATGCCCGAACATAAGTCTGACCACGTACAAGCGACATCTGTTGCAATATCTTCAAGCTATACAGTTATATCTGCAATGTATGGTCATCCAAGGTATAATATAAGTAAAGAGGATTTCACAAATTTCTTCTCATCTTTTGGGAAGAATTCATTGCAGCTGGCGATTATAATGCTAAACACACTTTATACGGTTCTAGACTCATTGCAACCAAAAGTAGACAACTTTTAAACTTCATTTCGTCTGCTAGATTGGATGTGATATCTACCGGTCCGCCTACTTAATGGCCTTCAGAACTGCAAATACGTCCTGACATAATTGACTTTGCGGTAACAAAGAATATTAAGAGATAACAAGTGACAGTGGTACCTTCGTTCGACTTGTCGTCGGACCATTCACCAACTATAATAACATTTAAGGATATTCAACTCGTAAATGCCCCTTATTACCTGCCGAATAAGCAAAATGTTTCAGTTCACATGTAAGTCTTAACACTTCATTGAAGTCCGAAGAAGACATGTAGATCTTGTTGAAAATTGACTGACATAATGGAGAATATCGGTAAAGGCAAGCAAGTATATACACGTTACATTTGCTTCATGACGCGAACTTTGCCCCACAATAAAACTCGTCAATACACAAGCTCCACAAAAAGGAAGACTTGCAAGCAAAACATCGACGCAAAAATCTCGCTAATAAAACAAGCTAAAAAGTATCAATCAGTTTTGCCGACAGATGTATACCCTCAGCCAATGTGAGGTACCAGATATAGTGGACCGAAGTATTCCATTTTAATACTTCATCTAATACAGATACAAAAATTGGTATGTGCAAAATTACGGGAAAATCGAACATTTATATCTAATTTTATGCGAAATCATAAATTCAAAATTCAACTCAGATTTCCGGTTAAGAGAAATATTTAAATAAAGCAGTTATAAAAAATCGCTAACTTGTTTCGCAAGTTATGACAGATAAACGTATTGAAAATTGTGACCATTTGTGGGAAAGGTACCAGAAGGGTTAGCACAACTGTTTGTATGTATGAAATTTGAAGAAAATTGGATGTTTATTTCGAGTTTTATGAGTTTTTTTTTTGATCTTGAACACTATGTGGAGGAGGTACCAGAAGAAATGATCCGATCTCTAACATCTTTATAACAGATCTGGTGTTGATGTAAATATTGTTGATTTCGCTTTTTATGAGCTTCACGGATATACAAAATTTTGAGCCTTTATGGGGGAGGTATCAAAAGCAGTGGCCCGATATATACCATTATTTCGGATTTTATAAACATTTTGTTTATTCAAAACTTTGACCCTTTGCGGGGGAGGTACTGGAAGGAATCTATACCGTCTTTATAACAGATCCTGTGTTGATGGAAATATTCAGCTGTGCCAAGTTTATGTGGAATCGGATGGTAATTTCGCTTTTTATGAGCTTCGTGGATATTCAAGATTTTGAAATTGTGGGGGAGGTACCAGAAGGAGTTGGCCGATATATTCCGTCTTAATACCAGATCTTTGGTTTATAAAATTGGATGATGTGGATTTGAAGACAATCGGACTTTACATCACATTTTATAAAAGTTATAATTATTCAAAATTTTGACCCTTTGTGGGGGAGGCACTTGATGGAGTACACCGATATTATCCATTTTTGCACCCGACGTAGAACTGATGCAAATATTAGGATTTGCAAAGTTAGAGCAAAATCGGATTATTGCTTCTCTTTCTGTGCAGAAAATATATTTTATAAAAATTTCGTCCTTTTGTGGGGAAGTGCCAGAAGGAGTGGACCGATATTGCCCATTTCCGAACTCTTAATTTGATAATAATATTACGATGTACCATATTCGGGCCAAAGACATTGCTAAATCGACTCCAAATGTCCTGAAATGGACAAGGCACGGATGAGGCTCGTTTTGGCTGTATACCCTAGCCATAAACACAAAATCTGTTGTGAAGATGGTATATATATATGCGAACCCCTTCTGACACCTCACCCACAAAGGGTCACAATTTTCAATACTTTTATCTGTCATTTAGTTAGCGATTCTTTATAATTTGCTTTATCTAAATATTTCTCTCAACCAGAAACCTGAGATGAAATTATGATTTTGCATAAATTCGGATAGAAATGTACGATTTTCTTGTAATTTAACCCAAACCAATAGTTTTATCTGTTTAAGATGAAGTATGAAAATGGAATACTTTGGTCGACTATATCTAGTACCTCAAGCACATTTTAACATTTTCTAAAAATTACCACATATCTCATATAAAGTGAAGGAAGTAACCAATGTAGTCCAAACCTGGCACGTCGCAATATTTATATCATATTTATTTATGTCCGATACGAAATGAACAATTTTGACCCATTCCTTCGGAACTTACTCAATAGAGGATCAAATATTTAAAGGAGTGAAAATATATTTAAATAATCCAAAATTGGCTGAGGGTAAACCCGTCTGATACTTTTTAACTTTTTGTATTTGTACTTGGGGCGAAAGTTCCATGACTAATGCCCGATGTGCGTACAAATATGCGCCCCTTTTTCTACTATGGTACACCCAAATAAGCAAGATCCACATTATGAAGCCAAATACATTAAACGAAAGCTAAGTTTAAACAAGTAAGCAAAGGCTACAGTCGAGCGGGGCCGACCGTTGAATACCCTACAACACTATAATAAACGATACAGTGTATATAGGCGAGATACTCGAAAGAATTCCACAAGATATTGTGACAAACAATAAAAGAAAACCATTTCGAATAATAGCAACTTAAACTAATTTGCTCATTCCCAATTTATTGGTAGATGTTGCACGTAAATGGTCTTCCTAGATCTGGAACTAATATTTCCCAAAGACCTATAATCTCTCAGAAGTGGCAAAAGATTAACATTTATTATTGGTTTTTGACTGAAACGCATCTATATGAGATACAGACTTTTGACTATATTCTTCAACGAAATCAGCGGTAACGAAATAGTCAGAAGTGCGTCTTTCCTGTATTTGTGAATTCTCCAAAAAGTCTCTGGAATGGACATTCGTATTTTTTTCGTATTTTGTCTTCAAAATTTGGCAAACTATTTCACACATTGAATATTTTTGGATGGCCATCCAAAACTGCTTGGCTTTTGCAATGTCCGGTAACCCCCATTCAAATGTGCGTGAGGATCGGGCGTTTGCAGTTTTTTGGTCCATTTCAACCCCTAAATATATGGCGATCATCTTCAAAAAGTGTAGGCTTCCACTCTGACCCTCATCTTATCCTCATGCAAAATTTCGTAAGGTTCGGGCCATAAATGCGATCTGTATCCTGATATCCTAACTACTTAGTTTTGTTAGCTGTAGAAATATTACCAAATGTTTAATTCAAAATGAAAATATGCCAAAAATATGACAAAATTAAAAAAATATGAGAAAATGTTACAAAATCAATATTTTCATCTTTAGAGAGACATTTTTATGCGATTTTTTTAGACGTTTTTTCTTTCCTGCCAAGAGGCCATTCTGAATTAATGAAAACTGCCGAAATCAGTTCAGCCGTTCTCGACACATAAGAGATCTTTCAAGCCTATCTTCTTTGATAGACATATATATCGCACATATTTTGCTATATATCCAATTTGTTGGATGTTAACATCAATGTAAAGATCAGAAGTAACCTTGTCATGGCTTTGTGATTTCGCGGGGATTTAAAACATTCGCGGTTTAATGAAAATTTTTTTAATTTTTTCAACACAAAAGATATGGTCTATTTTACCCGCTAATTATTATCCGATGACCACCCAAATTGGTAGGCTTATTCCCCGCCCTAAAAATTTTTCAGTAATTGGTCCATTTCAACCCCTAAATAGTATGCGATCATCTCCAAAAGAAATAGGGTTCTATTCTGGCCTAAAACCCGCCTCCAATTTCAATTTCGTGAGGATCGGGCTATAATTGCGACCTGTAGCGTGATTACAAATTCACATGGACTGACGGACGGACGGACATACATAGCTAGATCGACTCAGCTCGGCGAGCTAGGAAGATCCATATATACTTTCTTATATGGGAAATCAATATTTCGAGGTGTTACATAAATTCTGGCCCAATCAAACTTATAATACCCCCAACACATAGTGTTGTAGGGTATAAAAACTATCAAATTCATCCAAGCATTTTATAACTTAAAAAATTAAAGTCGTATGATGGAATTGGGTCGAACCAATCTAAAATGAATTTTTGAAAGAATAATTTTTGCCTGCAAAACAAATTTGCATCAAAAAAAAACGGAAATTATGCGATATTGCAAACCAAAACTTAAAAATTTGCAATAGCATAAGATGTTCAAATTTATTAATTAGATAAAAAGAGGTGAATACTTACCATAGCATTTTTTATCACATTCTGGATCCTCCATTGGGGAATGTCCATCCCCACCCACTTTGTCTGAGGTCGTTTTCATTAAAGGCTCTAAAAGGGTTTGGTCTGAAATATTTTCTTTAGAAATCGGATTAGACTCTTGTGAGTTAGTCAGGATCGTATTGTCGTTATAGTAAGAAATTGGTGCTGCAGATATTGCGTTAGTATCAATAGCATTTTTCAGTTCCAAACTACTACTAATTGCGTTGCCAACTACATACGGTGGATTTGGGATAAGCTCTATGTAAGCCTCGGTCTCTTCGAAAGAAATTTCTGAAGGAGTCATTGCCTGAATAAGTTCATCGCCAACATACCAATTCGATTTCCTAGTAGAAGTTGTTTCTGAAATCTCAGATAAAGGCCACTCGGTAACATAGTTTGTCCCTTTACTCCTGAATTTTCGGAATGCCTTTTGAATAGTTTTCGCAGCTTCTTCAGCAGTTTGCTTATGTAATTCATCGCTATAGCTTTCTGACTCTGTCGAATCTCTGGCCTCTATTGTGTCCTCAATTTGTGAATGATCTAAACGTTCTATAGTTTTAGATGTTTCGTCTCCAATTTGTTTCACTGAATCATCGCAAAAGCTAGCTGGCTGATTGGAATCTCCGATCTCTATTTCCTCCTTAACTTTTATATGATTTGTATGTTCTGTAGGAGGCATGTTTATAAGTTCTGTCCTTTTGCTCTTCATGAATTTTCGGAATGTCTTTTGTATAGTTTTAGCAGCTTCTTCAGCAGTTTGCTTATGTAATTCATCGCTATAGCTTTCTGACTCTGTCGAATCTCTGGCCTCTATTGTGTCCTCAATTTGTGAATGATCTAAACGTTCTATAGTTTTAGATGCTTCGTCTCCAATTTGTTTAAGTGAATCATCACTAAAGCTATCTGGCTGATTGGAATCTCCGGTATTTATTTCCTCCTTAACTTTTAAATGATCTAAATGTTCTGTAGGAGGCATGTTCATAAGTTCTGTCCTTTTGCTCTTCATGAATTTTCGGAATGTCTTTTGTATAGTTTTAGCAGCTTCTTCTGCAGTTTCCTTATATGAATCATCATTCCAGATTTGTGGCCCAGTAGAATCTCTGGCCTCTATTTCTTCCATAATTTTTGAATGATCTAAATGTTCTATAGTTTTAGCAGCTTCGTCTTCAACTCGCTTTATAGAATCATCACTACAGATTTCGTGACCAGTAGGACGTCTGGTCTCTATTTCCTTCTTACCTTTCGAATCATCTAAATGTTCTGTAGTTTTAGAAGCTTCGTCTTCAATTTGCTTAAGTGAATCATCACAAAAGCTTCCTGGCTGATTAGAATCTCTGTTCCCTAATCCCTCATTACTTTTTAAATGATCTACATGTTCTGTAGGAGGCATGTCGATATGTTCTGTCCTTTTACTCTTTATGAATTTTCGGAATGCTTTTTGTATAGTTCTAGCGGCTTCTTTTTCAATTTGCTTATGTAAATCATGGCTTTCTGGCTCAGTCGAATCACTAGCCTCTATTTCCTCCTTAAGTTTTGAATGATCTAAATGTTTTATTGTTTTAGATGCTTCGTCTTCAATTTGTTTAAACGAATCATCACAAAAGCTTTCTGGCTCAGTGGAATCTCCGGTCTCCATTTCCTCCTTAACTTTAGAATGATCTATACACTCAATTTGAGACTTGGTGGTATGTTGCGTCTTTTTGCTCTTCATGTACTTTTGGAATAATTTTTGTATAATTCTAGCAGCTTCTTCTTCAGTTTGCTTAGGTGAATTATCAGTACGTATTTCGGGCCCAGTATAATCTTTGGCCTGTACTTCCTCTTTACCTTTTGAGTGATCTAAATGTTCCATAGAACGCTTGGTGATATATTGTGTCCGTTTGTTCTTTATGAATTTTCGGAATACCTTTTGTATAATTTTAGCAGCTGCTTCTTCAGTTTGCTTAAGAGAATCATGACTACAGATTTCGAGACCAGTAGGATATTTGGTCTCTATTTCCTCCTTGTCTTTTAAAAGATCTAAATGTTCTGTAGAAGGCATGTTAATATGTTCCGTTCTCTTGCCCTTCATGAATTTTCGGAATGCAATTTGTATAGTTTTAGCGGCTTCTTCTTCAGTTTGCTTATGTGAATTATCAATGCAGCTTTCGGGCCCAGTAGAATCTCTGGTCTCCATTTCCTCCATATCTTTGGAATGATCTAAATCAATTCGATGCTTGGTAATATGTTGTGTCCGTTTGCTCTTCATGAAATTCCGGAATGCCTTTTGTATAGTTTTAGCAGCTTCCTCTGCGGTTTGCTTCTGTGAATCATCTTTACAGCGTCCTGGCACAGTGGAATCTCTGGCCTCTATTTCCTCCATGACATTAGAATGATCTAAATGTTCCATAGTTTTAGCAGCTTCTTCTTTAGTTTTCTTAGGTGAATCATCAGTACATGTTTCGGGCCCTGTATAATCTTTGGTCTGTACTTCCTCTTTACTTTTTAATTGATCTGAATGTTCCATAGAACGCTTGGTGATATGTTGTGTCCGTTGGTTTTTTATGAATTTTCGGAATACCTTTTGTATAATTTTAGCAGCTCCTTCTTCAGTTTGCTTAAGAGAATCATGACTACAGATGTCGTGACTAGTAGCATATCTGGTCTCGATTTCCTCCTTGTCTTTTAAAAGATCTAAATGTTCTGTAGAAGGCATGTTGATATGTTCCGTTCTTTTGCCCTTCATAAATTTTCGGAATGCAATTTGTATAGTTTTAGCAGCTTCTTCTTCACTTTGCTTATGTGAATTATCAATGCAGCTTTCGGGCCCAGTAGAATCTCTGGTCTCCATTTCCTCAATAACTTTGGAATGATCTAAATAAATTTGAGGCTTGTTGATATGCTGAGTCCCTTTGCTCTCCATGAATTTTCGGAAAGCCTTTTGTATTGTTTTAGCAGCAACTTCTTCTTCAGCCTGCTTAAATGTATCATCACAAAAGCTTTCCGGCTGAGTAGAGGATAGCCCAACATTTTTTCCCAAGTTCATTATTTTCTCTTTCTCTCCAATTATATTTAAGTGTTGCAAATTTTCAGGTGATTTTTCAACTATTTTGGCAGAATCTTGGTGCCCAAATCCAGATAAGTTCGCCTCGGTAGATTTTGTGTTTTTAGCATTCTGTCGAACATTTAAAAATGTTTTAAATGCTCTTTGTATAATACTAGCTGCGATGTCCGGACTATTTTTATTTTCTGTATTATATTTTATGGTTTCCAATGCCTTCTGTGTTTCGTCATCGCTATTGTGTGGTGTATCGTTTGGAGGAGTTGGAGCTGAGTTTATTAACTCGTCGTATTGAGATAATTTAGTATCAGATACTTTTGAATTGCACTCTGAATGATCGATGACTATAGATATTTCTTCCAGGGGTTCTGCAATAAATATGCATTCGCCATGTCTCAAAGATTCGGGTTCAGTTATTTCGATAATTGTATGTAAAACTGTATCCGGTTTATGTAGAGAAGAATCCAAAGTATCCGTATTGCAACTTGTTTCCTCTGTATAGTTTTCCGATTTCAGACGAATAATGTCATCGATTGTCTGCGATATATCTCGGTCGAAATCTTCAATATCGTTTTCAAATTGAAAGAGTTCGTCAAATAACTTGGTTGGAGATTCCGCTTCCAACAGGAAATCAATCTCTTCTGTATTTTGTACACCTTCATGGGTGTCAGAGTCATTATTGTCAATTAATTTTTTTGTTCGTATGTTTTTCTTCTTATTATGGAATGGTATTGTAAAAGCAGTACCTTCCTTATGGAGTTTACGTTTCGGTAGTAAAGTTTCCTTTGATGACACCGGCGGGACCCCATTAAAATATCTGGGAATTCTTTCTTGGTTCAGGTTTTTAAATTTAACTGAATTCGTAAGATCTTCGCTAATATCTGGTTCCTCTTTACTGCCCTCGGTTTTATGCTCATCATCGGTAGGTAAATTTGAAAAGGGCTCATGACGAGGCTTGTCATACACTTGGTCACAAATATCGATTCCTAGAGGGATGTCGTCCGAAACCTTTTTCGCTATTTTCGGCTCATTGTGTTGCAACTCGTTTTGTTGCAGCGGCCTGTCATCCACTTGGTTACAAACTTTGATTCCTAGAGGGATATTGTACGAAACCTTTCCCGCTATTGTCGGCTCATTTTGTTCCAACTCCTTTTGTTGCAGCGGCTTGTCATCCACTTGGCTACAAGCATCGATTCCTAGAGGGATATCGTACGAAATCTTTTCCGCTATTTCCGGTTCATTGTGTTGCAGCGGCTTGTCATCCACTTGGTTACAAACTTCGATTCCTAGAGGGATATCGTTATTCAGTTTGTGCTCTTTCCAAAAAGAGCGTAAATGCGTTTCTGCAAACACTTGATCAGAAAATCTTTCTTGGAGACCATGTTTATTTCTACCAGTTAGTAAATTTTGATTGCCAATAGAAGCTTCAGTTGGATTGTTGCCAATATCGTCTGATGCTCCCTAATTAATAATAACAAATATTTTAGAAAAAAAGTTGAAGAGCAATGGCTTACCGAGCATTACTTCTTCTTTCCTGACGCTACCATTCGCAACATTGCCATCTGAAATGAAAAAGATTCCAACATTAGTATTTAGATGTTATTGTTGAGAATTTTTTACAAAATGTCTAAATAGCAAAAATTTATGGAATGGTAATTGACTTATATGTGCTTTATGGGTATAATTTTTTGAATATAAAAATTTCGACCAATGCAAAGTGTTGAGAAACATGAACAAATATTTATATGTAAACTAACTGGCCCGGTCCGCGTTGCCGGCCCGTAATTTTAGTCTTTAATGCTATTATATCATCCACCTTGGAAAGGAGGGTACATTAACTTTTTATTCCATTTATAACATCACTAAATGTTCGTCATAGACCCCATTAAATATGCATATATATTCATAATCAGCATAAAACTCTAAGTCGATTTGTCCGTCTGTATGTCTGTTTGTTTAAATTACGATACAGCCCACATTATTTGACGTATAGCGTCAAAATTTAGCTGAAAAATTTGTATTGTGTATAGGATGGTTGGTATTAAAAATGATCACGTTTTGGTATAGTCCCCATATAACGGTTTCTCTCGAAATTCGGTATTTTGATGATTTTTGCCACATTTCTCCTCGGATTTGCCTAACACATATAACGATATCTACCTAAATTGTGTATGTTTATAATCCACACATTTATGCGTATAATTGTTTCAAATTTGGTATTTTAGAAGGTATTTTAAAGTATAAAATTGTCAACATAGGTTCCCGTTTTGGTATGGCCCCATATTACGGCCTCAATCACTTTATGGTTTTTTGATAAGTTAACTGCATTATCCAAACTTTCTTACTGGTATATGAAGTTTAAAGTGGAACACGCTTGAATTTAGATACTTTTATATAAAAATGTTTTTTTTTACCCTCAGATGGATGATAGTAATAATTCTGCCCGGCCGAACATAATTTTTTTACTTGTTTTTAAAGCAATATGAATTATTTGCCATTGAAATTGCGCGTTGGAGACCCCATAATTTCCATATCTTTTATCATAGTATAATTCAAAGACGATTAAACAAATGTCCGGTTCCTTAAATCATATGATGGTTATACAAAACGTGATCAGTTTTTGCATAGATGGTTTCTTCCCAAATTACCAACATTTGCCGAAATTAGTATGAAAATATGGTTAAAATGTAAGATATACTTGAAATCGGGTTGTATCCTTATCCAGGAGTTATGGCCCATATCATGAACTGCAAAAGTGATTTAAGGTATCGTGAAAGTTTAGGAAGAATTTCTGAAAGAATAGAAATCCTTTTCCCTTTATATTCGGTATTTCACTGATTGCAGTCCCAATGAATTTTGCATATTGAGTTCTCATTGAACGGATTATTGTCATGTGATAGGAGTAGGTAGGTCCCCGTGTTGAAATGAGCCCCATAACGTTTTGTCGGTTATTTTTGTTTATTTAAATGTGTTCGCATCTTCCAGCTGAAGCACGACGTAGATCGTGGAGTTGAAAGCTAAATGCCAATTTCAGACATAAAAGATCGCCATTTAACATCTTATTGCGTACTATTTCATTTTGGATATTATTCATTCAGAATTCAAAACAATAAAAAATGTACACTTCTATATAGTTTTTAAATTGAAAAAATTTCACGCCAAAAGGATTTCTTCTTTTATATTTTTACTAGCTGGCCCGGTCCGCGTTGCCGGCCCGTACTTTTAGTCTTTAATGCGTATTTTTTAAAGCATGATAAATCACAGATCTGACTTATGTAAGCGGCACAATTTTCATTATAAGTAATGACTCCATGACTAAATAGAAATTAATTTTTGTGTTAATACCTTTATGATAAAGAACATCTATAATAGTCCAATGTGAAAATTCGGCTCAATTTTTATTGTTGTAAAAAGCTTAACATTTGCATTCAAATGATCTATAATTTCGAATGTGTATTTCCAACGTTTAAAATCCCGTACTGCTTGGTATTTAGTTTCGTTCACCTCATACTTGAAGGCAGAATGTTGTCAGAATATCCAAAAAAAATACTCTTTTGGGCATACATTTTTTGTCATTTAAATTGTGAGATGGAGATCCAATAAAGTCCACATTTTTCATCGTAGTGTAATTCAATGATGATTAAAGAAATGTTCGGTCTCGTGTTACTTTCTAATTTCGTATTTTTTCATGTTTCTGCCTCAATTTCCGACTGAATAAGTCCAAGATTGACATTTCGGAGTTTTTTTCATATATACGTACATCATAAATCTGTGTTCCCAACCAATATTCTCTTGGGGGTTACAAATTCAATAGAATACCAAATTTTCTTTTGTGACCACACATTGGTTGGGAAAGTGGACTTGGGGGTATACTAATGTGGGGACTATACTTAAATAAATGCCTATGTGGATAATTATCTGTAAGATGATTTTCGACCTCAGAGTTTTTTACCCAATGTAGCCTCAAGACTAAGATGGGCCCTTTTCCGAAAAATAAAAATTTTATGAGAAGAGGTTTTCTTCCCCCTTAGAAACAAAGATGTCAAATAAGGGCCAAAAAATGGAAAAAGTGGCCAAGACCCCGAAAATACCTTAAATCATATGATGGTGATACTAAAACGTGATAATTTCTTGCAAGGATGGTTTTTTTAAATTATCAACATAAGATAAAATTAGTACGAAAAATATGGTTAAAATGTAGAATATACTTGAAATCGGGTTGTTCCGTTATCGGGGCCCATATCATGACCTGCCAAAGCGATTATAGGTATCTTGAATGTTTGGAAAATTTTTCTGGAAGGAATTCGCTCTACTATTTTGCGTCCTTTATAGTCGGTATTTCACGGATTGCAGTCCCAATGTATTGTGCATTTTGAGTTCTCATTGAACGAATTATTGTCATATGAAAGAAACAGGTCCACTTTTTGAAGTGAACCCCATAACGCTTTTTCGGTCATTTTTGTTTGTATAAATGTGTTCGCATCTTCCAGCTGAAGGTCCTGGAGTTGAAAGCTAGATGCCAATTTTATACATGAAAGATCGCCATTTAAAATCGTATTACACACTCATTTCATTTTTAATATTATTCATTCAGAATTGAAAATAATAAGAAATGTACACTTCAATATAGAAAAAAGAAAGGATTGAAAAAAGACAAATAATCTTCAACTGGTTCGCTGATTTTTTTACGGCGAATTTTTAAAGGTCCTTATGAAGTGTGTCTGTAGAATGTACTATTATTTTGAAATTCGATTTCATTGAAAAAATTTCGATTTTTCCCGATTTTAGAATTTTCATATCTTATTCTCTTCTGAAATGATATTATACATATTACCCAATAAATACATAAAATCTATAAATAACAGTTTTATGCGTTGTCGCTTTATACTACCCAAAAAAACTAAACATCATATTAGAATTCCAAAAAAAAAAAATCACTACAAATGTACATTCGAAAGTCAAAATGTCTATTATGCATATTTGTCAAAGCATAATTATTCACAGATATGACTGATATAAGTGTTGGCGTACTGGTCGATTAAAAGTGTTTTAAAATACCAGTACCCATATTTAAGCCGTGGGCTTCAATATTTAAACCGTGGGGTTCAAAGGTGTAGATGTGCTATACAAATCTATTAAAAAGTATATATCAATCTTATAACCATGTAAGGGATCAAATTAATTTTTAGTATGCAAAATTTTCAGTCAAATGAGCAGTAATTTGGAATTTGCTGTATTTTGTACACCTCATAATTGAGGGCTGAGTGAATTAAGAATAGCCAAAGTTAATTACTTTTTTAAAGCCATTAGCACCTCAGATTGTCCATTAGAGTTCTTCTACGTCCCCCTAACCATGTCGGTCTGTTTGTCCGTCAAAAGGTGGACTTGAGGGGGTACTATTATATGGAAAAAATTCTAAAATTTGTAAATATGTTGAAATTTTTGTGTAAGATTTTCACCCCCCAAATACACATTTTTAGCCAAATCCTTTGAAATATGGTAAAATCAGGAAGTACCTTTATATGGGCACTACTGCAAAACATCGACCTACATTGAAAACTTTCTTCAGCCCTAATAATCCAAGATGATAAATAGAGGCCAGATCAAAAATATAGCAGAACAACATAGCATGTCAAACTGAAAAAATCACTTGACTTAAATAAGTCAAAATAGTTTTATCCACATCATAATTGAAGGCTGACTGATTTCAGAATAGTCAGAATATTATTTTAAAATTCGATTCAATTTTTGCAATGAGATCTCTTTTTTTGTGATTTTTTAGCGATTTTGAAAAAGTAATTATTTTTAATTAATAATTATCTTTCTTTTGGTGTGACCGCGTTAAATTATTTCGATATCATCTATTCGGTTTCGCCACCACATAATTCGGTACTACACTTCCATGTAACCCGCCATCAATTTCAGTTCTCCAGAAATCAAGTCAATTAAATAAATTGGTATTAATATTCAAATTCAAAAATCTATATATATAAATGTAAGTTGTGTTAGTTACTACGCTTATAACTCAAGAACCGCTGATCTGATTTTAACGATTCATACAAATTCTGAATTGTCTCTTTTCCGAAAAGGATAATATTCAAAAAAATCGCGTAAAAATGTGATATATTAACATTTTCATTTTGACTTCTGAAATGTACAATCGTAATGTTTTATTTTGTATGTTTTTTTTTCATTTTGACTTACTTTTTTCGAATGTACATTTGTAGTGTTTTTTATAATATTTTTTTTTCTTTTTGATTCGAATATTAATACCAATTTATTTTGACTCGATTTCTTGAGAACTGAAATAGAAGCCGGGTTACATTGAAGTGTAGTACCAAATTATGTGGTGGCGAAACGAAATAGATGTTATCGAAATAATTTAACGCGGTCACACCAAATTTAAGTCAAAATTTCTAAAAATCTTGAAAAAAGAGATCTCATTGCAAAAATTCTCAAATCGGGGAAAAATTACATAAGGTATAACTAAAGAACGGCTTGACAATTCATACAATTTTGGAATGGTATCCAATAAAAATATTAATAATAAATTTCTTTTTGG